CGTTAAACTCTACAGGAAAAGCCAATTCCAGGATCCCCACGTTGTAACCACTGAGCAGGTCCTCATTTCCTTTGACCATGGGATGGATCCTACGACCAACCACGAAGTTCAGGATGGCGTTGGGGTCCGGCACGCGGCGACTCACGTTGAACTGGACGAGGTTTCTGGAAGGGAAATGGATTCGCGTTTTAGAAGGGGGACGGATTAAGGGTTTTTGAGAATGAGATATAGAGTGGAAGGTGGTTTTCTATAGGATTTTTCATATGGTAAGGTGAATCGTGCGGCCACATTACGTATTCCCTCGATATAAGCAAACCATGTATAACGTAATATTTATATTAGGATCAAAATTTCACTGAACATAACAGTAGAAATTGGATAGTAATACTATCATAGCGGATAGATGTGCACCGCATTCATAATACAGCCTACGATCATATTTTTCCAGGGGTATGCAGCGTCAAGTTAGAAATAACTATTCCTCGACAGGGATCATCTGACTTGCTATCAGTGACTATACTAGGCAAAAGTTTGTAGGCCTACATCGACCACACATAACAAAGAGAGAGAGAAAAAAATGCACAAAATACGCCAGACGCGCGTAGTGTATCTTCCTAGCATCTTGGCATTAAAATAATAATAATAATAAGTAAATAAGACATCCAAGACGATTTTGAAAATTGTTATTTTATCTTTCAACAGCCCTCTTTTGCGCAAGTGCTGTATCTTCCTAGCATTTTATCACCGTGTTCATCGAGGCCACACAGTCAGCGCCCGTGAGGATTTGACCTCTCTTACGCACGTGATATATCTTTCTAGCATTTTATCAATTTTTTCGCCTCCCACAACTTACATATTCGGCGAGGCCACACAGTCAGCGTCCGTGAGGATGTGGAAGCGGCTTATAACGGCCCCAGTGCACCGGTAGTGGAACCTCCCGTCTTCCCTGGACCCGAGGGCAGCTATCCACGGCAGAGGCGGTTCTTCCAACGGGTTGTCTGGATTCTGGGGGTTCTGAAAAGGGGCGGTCGTTAGTTCTTCTGCACTGGTGTGCCTGGTATTGCTATCTTTCTAACTATGAAGGGAAAGAACAAATTCGTGATACATGATTAAGCATAAACAAATCTAGAACTTGGGTATACAGCCAGATATTGCCTCTCATTCTGACAAAAAAGGGATGGAATAATTAATAAGCGAATAAAGATAAACAGATCTCAAACTTCAGTTACTTCGAGCTGAGATGAATAACATGCAATATGTTATAAATAAATAAGTAAATTGACCGATATTGTCTCGCTCGCATTCTAATTTTAAAAAGGGGAAGCGACAATTCATGATAAATGAATAACCATAAATAAATATCAGATTTAGGATATGTAACCAGATATTGTCTCTCTCTTACGTAAGCAACAAAAAAAAAGGAAAGGAATAATTCATGATAGACGAATAAAACATCAGCAAATCTCAACCTTAAGGAGACTCGGAGCTTGGGTATAGAGCTTACCCTTCCACAGTCGAGGGGGAGGATCGTCTCGACGCCGCTGGCAGCCAGGAGCACCTTCACCCTGTCTTCAAAGGCGTCAGCCATTGCATCATCGCTTCCGGCCTGCCTCGTGGAGACCTGAGGCTGTTGTTGCTGCCGCTGCTGGTTCTCCTTCACGTCCTTCATAACAGCCTTTAGCCCGCCCATGAGAGGGTCCTTTGGATCCTCCATCTCCACCACGTCCATCATGTCCTCGATGGTCTGTTCAGGAGAGAGAGAGAGTGCAGTGCGCAGGGAAAGGACGAATCTCACGATGCTGAGGTTGGCATCAAGAATCCTCGCTCTCGCGCGGGCGATTGATCTAAGACTACCATTAAACCCGCGTATGCCCTAGTTCTTTGGTATGGGTGGCGAAATGGATGGCGGGTTTCTGATTTATGGATATATATATATATATATATATATATATATATATATATGTGTGTGTGTGTGTGTGTGTGTGTGTGTGTGTGTGTGTGTGTGTGTATATGTATATATATACATACATATATATATATATATATATATATATATATATATATATATGTATGTATATATGTATGTATATATGTATATATGTGTATATATACATATATATATGTATACATATATATATATATATATATATATATATATATATATATATACATATATATGTATACATATATATATATATATATATATATATATATATATATATATATATATATATATATATATATACATACACACGCACGTTTATATTTGACTCCAACATGTTGATGCTCTATTATTGAGCTTCTTCCCACTCCGTTTATATATATATATATATATATATATATATATATATATATATATATATATATATATATGGTAGTATATGTGTGTTTGATATCAAACAAGCGATATCACGAATGCCTTTTCTTGTCAGATCTTTCAAGTAGCGAAAAATATAATCTGCGTTAATTCTAAAAATCAGGAAATTTCATGTACTTTAGGAAAGGAGTCGGATTATAAAAGAGATTATTCGGAGAGTCATATTATTAATCTTATCCCCGTCGATTTTCTCTATAAACAAACATAAAAACGGAAAATTGATTTAATTCTAGATTTCATATTTCCTTTGAGAAAAAAAATAAAGCAGTTCACGCTTGCTTTTTGAAATCTCCGAACTTATTAAATGAAAATCCCTGAAATTATGTTAAAATTGCCGAATCTTAATATTCTTTCAGTACTTTTTTAAAATGAAAATCAGCATTAGATAAGAAAAAAAAGAAAATGTAGAAAGAAAGAGAAACAATAATTAGACTTGGTTTTATTTTCATACAAATTTCAAGATTGGATAAAAAAAAGTACGAGAAAAATATCACACAGAAAATACATTTCATGTAAAATTTACAAAAGGGAGAAAAAGCGAAAAATGCAACAATCTTAACACAGGCAGGAAATCTGTTATTTCATAGATACGTTTTTGTCATTTTCTTTTTCGTAAATTACGCTTAGTATTTCATCTATATTTATCTTTCCACACAACACACACACATAAATAAACATATAATATATATATATATATATATATATATATATATATATATACATATATATATATATATATATATATATATATATATACATATATATGTATTATAATATGTGTGTGTGTGTGTGTACGTGTACGTGTGTGTGTGCGTGTGCGTGTGTGCGCGTACGCGTCTTCATATACATATACAAACCTTAATCGGAGAAATAAGCAATCAAACAAAAGCTCTGTGCATGCCCTTAAACGGCAATTTACCAAGTGAAAATGAAGGCTGTTTGGTCAGATGACGCAAAAAAAAAAGTTTACAAATTTACTCCCAGCATAGCGTGTCGTACTTTCAATGCCGAATATAAATGGAGAAAAAAAAACGAAGGTCAGTGATGCACGGAGTGTTATTCACAGCTGCTGGGCTGAAAAATTGGGAGAAAGGGGAGAGGGGAGAGGGGGAGAGGGAGGGACGGAAGAAGGAAAAAGGGGGTGGGGGAGGGAGGGAGGGAGGGGCAGGAAAGAAGGAAGGGAGAGGAAGTGAAGGAAGGAATGATGGACTGAGTAAGTGAGGGAGATAGAGATGAATAGACAAATAAATAGAAAGAGAGAAAGACAGACAGACAAATGACAAAACTTAGACACAACGAAAACAAAGAGAGAGAGAATGGGGGGGAGAGAGAGAGAGAGAGAGAGAGAGAGAGAGAGAGAGAGAGAGAGAGAGAGAGAGAGAGAGAGAGAGAGAGAGAGAGAGAGAGAGAGAGAGAGAGAGAGAGAGAGAGAAAGAAAGAGAGAGAGAGAGACTAAAAACCTCCTACATGCAGCTGCCTCCTCATGCCAAATTAATACAACTGACCACAAGAAGCGATTATAAAGATAAGCAACTGCACTGAATAAAAAAGCAAGGAAGTCATCCAGTGCTTGTGTGAGTGTCGATTTTTCTCGTCTGTATTTAATTCAATTTATTTTTTTTCCCGTGTATTTTCTGGAACCCATTTTGGATAATGTTCTATTCATGTATATACCTCATGAGGAAGGATGAGAATAAGGATGATGATGATGATAATAATAATAATAATAATAGTAATGACAGTTGATAATAATAATAATAAACAGAGGAAAAAGATGAAGAAAAAGAAAGGTAAAATAAATATTACCTGGATAAACACAAACAGGTAACTGAGATGAATAACATGAAATAGGATAGAATAATAAATAAGTAAGAAGAGTTAGTGGTAATAATGATAATAAGAATGATCATGACGATAATTATGATGACATGATAATCAAACATAAGAGTGATGATGATGATGATACAGCTAGTTAATACTAACAATACAATAACAATAACAATAATAATGATAACACCACCAACTACTACAACGATATTAGTAACAACACTGGCGATAACATCAATTAAAACAACAACAGCGAAAATAACAACAGCAAAACAACGATAATAACAATTAAAGACCAATACTAACATTACCACCGATAACAACAAGTAAAACAACACAAATAACAACAACGATACTAACAATGAAAAACGACGATACTAACAATGAAAAACAACGATACTAACAATGAAAACAACGATACTAACAATGAAAAACAACGATACTAACCATGAAAAACGACGATACTAACAATGAAAAACGACGATACTAACAATGAAAAACAACGATACTAACAATGAAAACAACGATACTAACAATGAAAACAACGATACTAACAATGAAAAACAACGATACTAACAATGAAAAACAACGATACTAACAATGAAAACAACGATACTAACAATGAAAAACGACGATACTAACAATGAAAAACGACGATACTAACAATGAAAAACGACGATACTAACAATGAAAAACAACGATACTAACAATGAAAACAACGATACTAACAATGAAAAACAACGATACTAACAATGAAAAACAACGATACTAACAATGAAAAACGACGATATTAACAATGAAAAACGACAATACTAACAATGAAAAAGACGATACTAACAATGAAAAACAACGATACTAACAATGAAAAACAACGATACTAACAATGAAAAACGACGATACTAACAATGAAAAACGATACTAACAATGAAAAACGACGATACTAACAATGAAAAACGACGATACTAACAATGAAAAACGACGATACTAACAATTAAAAACAATCAATACCGGTACCAACAACAACGCCAGACCGGAACTGCACCTTCAGCCAGTCCTTCCAAAACTATAACGACTTCCTCAACCAACGACCATGAATGACTAGTTAGTTTCTAGTCTTTCTGAATGGAACGACCATTGAGAACCTTTTTTTTTTTACTTTCTTTTTTGTTGTATTGACAATCGTGACTCGTTTTTTGTTGTTGTTTCAAGTTCATTAACGTGTGGTTTCTTTTGTTTGTTTTTTTGCCAGGGACGGAGGAGTGATGGACATCTTTTTATTTGTGAGTTGGGGTAGTGTTTTTATAAGGGTATTGGAAGCTATTTCTGGTTTTATTATTATTACTATTATTACTATCATCATCGTATTAGAAACTATTTATCTTTTGATTATTTTTTTTTATTTGATGGTGCTTCATTGTATGTAATTGGTCTGTTAATTGTAAACAACACTACAGAAATTACTAAGCTTTTAAAGATAATATTGTGTTCGTTGACTTTATGCATTTTTCGCTATTTTTTTATAGACAGGTGTGTGAATTTTCTTAAAATCTTTAAACTGTTTATATTGAATAGTAAACTAACACACACACCAGTGGCACTCTCAGATCAATAGCGTCCCTCAAGTATTTTCTTGGTTCAAGCTTTTATCCATAACATAAACGTCGATATATGCACTTTTATTATACGGCAACCATAAGGGAAATTGTATTAATACATTAATGATTATATTTTAGACACAGGTTTAAATTGAACAAACTTTTAAGTAAACGTATCCTTGGGTAAATGTGCGCACACACACACACACACACGCGCGCGCGCGCGCGCGTGTGTGTGTGTGTGTGTGTGTGTGTGTGTGTGTGTGTGTGCGTGCGTGCGTGCGTGTGTGTGTGTGTGCGCGCGCGTGCGTGTGTGTGTGACGCACATAGCTTCATATATGAGAAAAAAAGTATATTATCCTTTAATTAAAGACTTACATTCATGGCGATATCCATAGGCGTGAGTTCAGGCAAGGCAGCTGGAATTTTTGGAATCGCTGATCTGACGGTGATCTGGGAATCCTCCGGCAAGATTCCCATTCTGATTCTGCCTTGGAGAATTCGTACAGGGAAGGGTTGGCGATATTATCATTATTATCAGTATCCTTATTATGTTGTTGTTTCGTTTTGATGTTAATGTTTTTATGTTGTTATTGATATGATAGTTATTGCTATTTTCTATGATTATTTATCATTATTATTAGTATTACTTTTACTATTGTCATCATTCGTTATTATTGCTATTATTGTTATCTTCATCATTATCATTATCATTTTTAGTAGTACTATTTCTACTATTACTATTATTATTCGTTTTATTGTTATAATAATAACAATTATTATCATTATCACTATAATAATTATCATCATTGATGTTAGTATCATTTTTATGATTATTATTGGTGTTGCTGTTATTACTATCATTATTATCATCATCAGCATCATCATTTTTAGCATTATCATGTCAATCATTATCCTGATTATTATTGCTATCATTATTACCATTATGATGATGATGATCATCATTATTGTTGCTATCACCATCATCATCATTATCACTAATATCCACATCATCATTAATAGAATTATCATCATCATTTCTTTTTTCTGCCCATCCTTTCACCTAAATATTTAATGATATATTGCCATTTTCTTTGCCATGTTAGATTAAAAACACTCGCATTAGAGAACAGAAAAAAAAATATCGCACGGACCAGACCAGATTTTCATTAAGTCTAGAATATTATCATTTTAGAGCCTGGGCAGTGAACATATAATAACATTAATGATAATGATATTGATAATAATAATAGTAGTAGTAGTAGTGGTAGTAGTAGTAATAATAATAACTATAACAATAATGCTGATAATAAGGATAATAAAAATAATAACAATAATAATAATAATAATAATAATAATAGTAATAATAATAATAATTATAATATTAACAACAACAACAACAACAACAATAATAATAATAGTAATAATAATAACAATTATAATATTAACAACAACAACAACAACAATAATAATAATAATAGTAATAATAATAATAATAATGATATTGATAATAATAACAATAATAATAACAACAACTACAGCACTAATAATGATACACAACCGCATGATAAAGTATGCTTTTACAAAAAGATTGAAATTATCTGCCGCGTCAACAGCTGTCATTATCGAAGAAAAAACAATACTTGGAAACCCCAAGGGCATAGGAACTACACAAGGTAATAAATTCAATAAATGATAAGA